TTTGGCAGGCCATCTACTCTTGCGGACTGAGGAGTGAGCCTTTCGTGACAAAGGGCACAGTAAATGGCGAGATCTACAAATCTGAGTGCCTCGAGAAGCGCCTTTTGCCGTTCTTGCAGCAGCACGACGAAGCTCCGCTATTTTGGCCAGATTTGGCATCATGCCACTATTCTAAAAGTGTCCTGGAGTGGTATGAGGCCAATTCTGTTCATTTTGTTCCAAAGGACATGAATCCGCCAAACTGTCCGGAGCTGCGCCCGGTGGAGCAGTACTGGGCAATAATGAAGCGGGAACTTCGGAAGAGCAAGAAGACAGTCAAAGACGAGAAGGACATGTTAAGAAAATGAAAAAAAAAAACTGAGAAACTGGTACCGGATGACACTGTAAAGGCTTTGATGGAGGGCATCAAGCGAAAATTTTACACTCAAGGCTCCATCGATTAACTTTTCTTTTGATTTTTGAAGTAAATATATGTATAAAACTACCCTAAAATTTTGGTTTGATTCTAAACATTATAAGAAAATTGGCATGACATTTTCGGTGTCGCAATAATTTCGTGTTCGCCCTTTATGTATATAAAAATGAATTTCTATCTGTCTGTCTGTCTGACCCTTATAGACTCGGAAACTACTGAACCGATCGGCGTGAAAATTTGTATGCAGGGGTTTTTGGGGCAGGGAATGGTTCTTATGATGGTTCGAGACCCCTCCTCCTATGTAAAGGGGGGCTCCTATACAAATGAAACAGAAATAAGGGGTAGCCCCTTTAGATAAGAGGGGGTACAATATAGTATGCTTTTTTTGATATGAAGCCATCGACCACCTGTGATGTTATGTCCTCGCTATATTGAAATGGTTAATTTACGATTTTCTTATTGTAAAAGCCATCATAAGAAACGTTTGCCTAACCGATCACTAGTGGCTGAAGCTGCATTTTATTTATTTCTCATCCATTCTGGGCTTAAATTCATAATGCATTGCTGAGATCCAGAGATCACGGTTTAGAGGACTGAAAAATACACCATTGTATTACAGTAATGACTCGATGCTGGTATTCCCTCCATCATGCTTGGCATGCACAGTTGTACACACCAACTGCTCATTTGGTAATAACTTTTCACTCAGATGTTGAAATTTATTTTTCTTTAAAGTAATTGATAGATTAGGCTCATAGTTTACTATTGATATGCAAAGAGTAGGTAAAGCTTAACATTTGAATCAACACTAATCAATTTAACACTTAAATTCCGAGATGTGAGAGAGCATTTCTCACCTCATTTTTACAACGCAAAAACAAATACAGTTTACTACTTGCATTAAAATCTACTTTATTTATTTATTTATTTATTTTATTCTTATTTCATCTGACTTTTTTCAGTGTTAATGAAATCTAGGATGAGGAAAAGCCTCTTTGAGTAAACCATTCAGTTGGCTCAAAGAGGCATAAAAACGCCATGTCTTTTCATACATATAACAATAAACAAAATTACAAATAGTCAATACACAGAATACGTTGAATACAAATGAATACAAATGACAAACAAGTCAATAATCTAAAATAATTAAACACAACAATCTGCAAATGCGTCGCAGCTCACGCGTCGGAGGGTTGGAAACTCGGCGTAGTGTTGTAGAAAGATCATGTAATAAAAAAACAGCAGGTAATACACACTTTCGAAGTAGCAGTGATTGGACAGATACTCACCGCTGTGCATTGAGGCGGCGTTGAAAAGTGGCAACAGAAACATTGAAGTCAAATTGTCCACTAGAATCGTTAAACCGAGAAGACATTATCCTGATAGGATCGTGTTGACCATAACGGCTGTTCCGGGTAGCAAGGTGCAGGAAATTACGTTGCCTCAAAGGTCTTTGCGGCGCATATACGTGCAATTCAGCAAGAATATCTGGGGTATCGATTTCATTGGTCATTACCTTAGCGACGAAGATGGCTTGCAAATTGGATCTTTGCTTCTCCAGAGTATCGATGCCTAACAGCATACAACGATGTTCATATGGAGGAAGATTTGACGAATCACGCCAGGGTAAGTAGCGAAGAGCGAGGCGCACAAACTTTTTCTGCACCGCCTCGATACGGTCAATCCAGTTTCTGTTGTACGGGCACCATACCAGCACGGAAGATTCCAAAATAGATCGAACCAGTGCACAGAAAAGGGACTTCAGGCAGAGAGGATCACGAAATTCATCAGCAAGCTTAAACATGAAGTCGAGCTGTTTATTGGCTTTTGCAATCACGTCTCGTAATGCGGTCGGAAAGTGAGTTCGCGATCCAATATCACACCGAGATCCCTAACCTGATACAAGCGCTCGAGAGTTTGTCCACACATGCTGTAGTTGAAATTGATTGATTGTCGCTTCCTGCAGAATGATATTGTGTTGCATTTGGCTATGCATAAATCGAGTAGGTTTCGCTTGCTCCAGTCCTCGAACAAATCTAATAACCTCTGCAACTCCAGGCAATCCTCAGTGCACGTGATGATCATAAAGATCTGAACATCGTCGGTATAGAATATTCGCTGTCTACGTGGCAACACAAAGGCAATGTCATTTATGAATAATGAGAAAAGCAGCGGTCCAAGATTACTCCCTTGCGGTACGCCAGAAGGAATCATAAACGGCTCCGAATGTGACGAACCAATCCTTACTCTCACGGATCTTTCAGACAGATATGATCTAAAACAGCTAACAAGCGCGGAAGATACTCCCAGCTTCTCGAGTTTTTGCAACAGGATATCATGATTCACACGATCGAATGCAGCCTTGAAGTCCGTGTATACGGCGTCCACTTGTGAACCAGCGTCCACAGAGCGTATGCAGAGTGAGGTTAGTAGTAACAGATCGTTTCGGGTAGAATCCATGCTGGGCACATGAAATGTAGTTTTTGGTGGCCTCAAAGAGAGCGTTGTTTACAATTATTTCAAAAACCTTAGAGCAAGCGCTCAAGGACATTATTCCACGGTAGTTGACGACGTTACATTTGTCATCCTTTTTGTGAATCGGTGACAGAAACGAAGTTTTCCATCCAGCAGGAAATTTTTGCTGTTGGAACGAGAGATTGAACAGTTTTACTAACGGTGTCATCAGAGTACTCGAGCAGTTTTTCAACACAGATGAAGGAATCCCATCAGGACCGGGTGACACGGAATGTTTGAGCTTACGTAATGCATTTTCGACATGTTCCTCGCTAATCTGGAAAATTCCAAAGTCGATACTGTCTAGCGGCGTATCACGAACAGCAGCCTCTATCTGCGATGGCGTAGCAGGCGTATTTGAGAAGACATTCTTGAAGTGTTCAGCAAAGATCTCACATTTACTAGAGACTGAACTGTTTGGGATGTAGACGTAAATTTCTCTGCGTACGATCAACGTATCGAGCATACAATAGACGGTTATACCGTGTGTACTTGTTACTAGCCATTACAAAGCTATGTTTGGAGTGCTGCGAACGACTCCGACTATATGTTCGAAGTGCAGATCGCCTACGGCGCTTCAACTGGCGGAGGCTCCTGTTCGTCCAAGGAGGCTTCAGTGGAGGGCGCTGAAGAGGCAGGTGAGCTTCGATGACTTGACGTATCTCCGTGTTGAAAATACATACAATATCGTCCAGATCCTATTCAGAATCCAAAAATTGCCAACCGATTGATAATAGCGCATCATTCATCAAACTATCATCAGCCCGACGAAAATCGAATCGGCAGTCGTCTAGAGATGGTTCAAATGACACTGGTACCGAAATAGAAACGGTGACGTCAATAGTAGGATGTGGAGTATCGATTTCTACGAGCGATTCAGCCGCTTCGGATACGCAACAGCTTGATAACGCTGAGTCATTCACGAGTACTAAATCGAGATTTTACATATCTATAACAAGCTTACAGTCTATTCTATCTACTGCTTCAAAAAGAACTTTGTTCCGTCAACTGTGTGCAAATGAGCAGTTTGTGACCAAAACTGTGTATGCCAAGCATGCCCTCCATGCATCATACTTTATCTTTCAATAATTTCACATAGTCGTAATTGACGTAAAATGTATAGTTTGGTGCAATAAAACCACTAAAATAGTGCATGGGTTAAATAAAACAATAGTAATATTTTCAAAACTTGCAAAATCGGGTATTCATACTGTATTCATATTTTTTTTTTAGAAAATCAACTTTGTCCAAGACTAGAATCTTAGAGTAAACAGTCAGATTTTAGCGCCATCTATGTAGATAAGTTTCGATCTATCTGTTTATTCCAATAGATGGTTTAATTTTGCAGGAGACACCTAACGGAAATGCTTCGTTTTGGAGTAATAAATTGTGTCCCGCTGGATTGCTTTTCTGGCCCACTGTTTGGAGTGCTTTCATTGCTGTGCAGTGCTGGGAATGCCGTTCTGCTTAAGCGTATAATAACCTCAATCTCCAAAATTCCAAAGGAGCCCCAAACCAACCCCCCTTGACGGTACCAAATTCAGCTGACTTGAGGACAAGAAGAAAAAATGCAGGCAAACACCATGATCGTCGCCGCCTACTTCACACTCGTGTGCCGGCACTTCAAACCAACCGACTAATAACGATGGCAATAAATTCCTCCATCTTTAGACTCCGGCAACACGAGTCTTGGTTGGCCTTGTTTGTCTACCTTCGTTTGCTCGTTGGTTGGTTTTACATGTAGACCATAAATTAAAAGCTTGTTTCTCCTACCACTACCACTCTTGGGCGAAGGAGGAAAAAAAAAGGTGTGCTTTACGTAGACCACACTAGCCACACCATCCCATGCCCCGCTTCGAACCTTCAGACAGATTTTAAATGGTCTCCATCTTTTCCGAACCTTCTCATTTGCTCGGCTGCATTGCTTGTCTATACCTCTCCCTCTACATAGCTCTTAATCAACTCGTCGATTCAATTAATTATATTTCTTCTCTTTCTTACCCCGCACTCTGCATGAACCCCAACCAACCGCACCTCCACCTCCAAACCATCCTTTCCCCATATATTGCAGGTAGTGATAGCGACCCAGGTCGCGGTGGACGGCCCTCTGCTGGCAATCTCCGACAACATGTTCGTGCACAACAACAGCAAGCACGGTCGCCGGGCGAAACGGCTCGATCCCGAAGGTACGGGAGGTTCTCCGTTGGCCATTTCCGGCCATCCGCTGGCCCCGGACAGTACGTACGACGGTCGGTTTCAAAATTCTTCTTCTTCATCACCACAAATATTTCAAAAACAAAATATCGTGTGTGTTGTTAGACATAGTTCTTTCGTTTTTAGTTCGTTTAGTTAGTTTCATTGGATGATTTCAGTTTTGGTTTTCTATTATTGCAATTGGCCCAGAAACGAAGCCCGAAGGTTGCTTCCGGAAGTGGAAAGGATTCCCATTCCCATATTCTGATCTGACTGACAAAGAAGGAACTTTTCCGCATCGGAAGCAAACTGCCAAAGCTCTATCGTCGTTCGTACTGGGGAAAATTCCCAGCAGACACATGCACACACACACACATTCCGCCCACTGTCTTACGGTGAGAAACTATGGCAATCGGAGAAAGCGCGGAGCTCATTAAAAATGATTCAAATTGCACCGCTCGTTGGCCGCGCTGGCTGTGGTGCTTCCGTTCGTTAGTATGGTGAATGCACAAACAACCGTGTGGAAATTGCAATGGAGGATAAATCAAACGTTAAACAATATTTTCTCTGATTTACTTCGTTTCGGCAACGAAGTGGAAATTGAATTTATGATAGTCTTTGTTGAGAAATGAATCTGTTTCCAGTTGCATTACTGTAGAATTATTTGTCGCTCTCGCTCCACTTATTTGAATGTATTATTATCGGAAATGAATGATAGATTTCAGGAACTGCTTTATTCAGGTTGCCCGGTTTACCCAACATTAATTTTTTTATTAAACGTATGCTGTGATTCTGGTCCAAAGTCAATACATCAACTCTTGAAGAACATTTCAGTGATTCCTTTCAAATTGAGTTTGAAAAGTCTTTTTGAAAATTGTGTGCCACGTTCATAGTTAACTTCTCATGCCCACTGATGTAGACGGTCTAAAAAATAAATAAATGCGCTCAATTCTGTTTTTAATCCCACCATATTTTTTCACTGATTTTTTTAGATTTAAGAAACAAGTTGCATTAAATTTGGTGTTCCAATTTGAGATCAAAAATGGAGGCGAAAAATAATCGCGTAAATATAGAATTGAGTGTTCTTAGAAATAACAATTTTTAAACGTGACGGAATCCATCTTTGACACATGGGATGAGACATAAACAAACATGTTATGTAAAATGATATGCTCCGAGACTTGAAAGTTCTGTACTTGACGAAACGTACGTTTTGTTGAGCTAAATTTCGCGTCAGTTATGACTCAATTTTATGTTAAAATTGACGCTCTTATATGCCATTATTACAGAGCCTAAATTTACATGAATTTTTCTTAGTATGTAAAAGGGGACGTTTTTTTCAAATTTTGAAAAAAAAAATCCTAACTCTTGTATACTTCGGAAAATTGTCTATTGTTGATTAATCTTAATAATTCCCTTTTCACATATTTTAAACTTTTCTTAAGGATTTTTGTCAGATAATTCAAAATTATATTGAATGACCTAAAAATTCTTTTCATATATCTCCCAATTTATTATTGGGATTCTCTATTACCTTATACAGTGCCTTCCCATTTTTGGTAACATGACCTCATCAACTTCCCCCAAATTTGTTCTACTTCGTTCTGGACGTTTTACATGAATTACCAGGGATAGAGAAAGAACCCAAGTAACATTTTAAGTTTTATTAAATACTACAAAGCTACAATAAAACAACATTCATAAAACCCTGATCAAGGCTGTTTTTCCATTGATGCATCCACTAAAACCTCATTAAGACTAGAATCTGTCTATGGATTGCTCATTTCCGTTATTAAACTATCATAAATCAGAGTGGATGCCAAGTAGCTGCTGAATTGTTACTTGGGAATGGTCTAGTGAAATTAGAATTGAAAAAAGGCCATAGAAGTATTTTCTAGAAAGCAAAGAAGATAGAAATCGTGTGATTACAAAACCCGGAAGGTACTATCATCTATAGAAGAGTCTCGAAATTCTTTTTAGAAATCTCCTTGAATTTTTAATCGATCTTGAAAGATTTTGCTTGAGTTTCCCTCCATAATTTTCCTTCAAATATGTCCCTTTTTTGTATTCCGCTGTTCGGAACATATCACTACTGCGACCAGTAATTTGATCCATTGTAGTATATCCCGTGTCCTTAGTTTAGAGCATGTCGTATTAGTCCATCACTATTGAGAAATGATGGAGTGTTCGGTTTTGATACAGTTGCCATTCTTGCCTTCATCGCAAGGAATCGATTCTAATTGCAAGGTTCATGATTTGATGGGTCGATAGGTAGGTTCCAGGTGTGGGAGCTGCCTCCCTGGCGTCGGTAGCATTGATGCTCAGCACGGAAAACAAGATCGAAGGAAAACAAATCAAGGAAAGAAAAAAAAAGAGTGAGAACACCCTCCAAAGGCACGCCCCTTTAGCAGTCAAAATTAGATTCCTTAGCAACAAAATTAAGCAATGACACCGATAACGACCATGCATCAGAACCCTAGTCTTAACCACTTCAAACTAGGGAACAACGAATAGAAGATTAGGAATCACGTAGATGAAGACTAACTAACTCATTTTTTCCTTGTTTCAAGATCATCCTCGGTGTACAAATTCTTGTCACTGTTAACAAGGCCCGGAGGCAGTCCAGCTCCGGGCTGAAAACCTGCTTAATACAGAAAACTAAACTTAACAAGACAAGACATAAAAAGTAACAAGGATTAAGATGTGTTCCTTTGATTACTGAAAAATCCAGTTCTACTCGTTTGAAGTAGTCAGAACTAGGAATCGGTGGTCCTTGGTATAGACCATCACAAATGAGCCTTTAATCGAAGACAACATATCACATATGGTCATTTTTCTATACGTTGCTTCCACCTTTGCTCGAGCGCAGTGCTACTGTGCCTGTCGCTTGGATTCAGACAAAGTTGCCAGTCTTCTTGATATGTTGTCTTCGCTTTAATCTTAAAAAAGGCTTGATGATGCAGATTTAAAATTTAGCACGGTGAGGTATGGATTTGAAAATTTAAAATGCTTCCATTTCTCAATTAAAGCTTTTATTTTATTTTTTCAATGATTCTACACACGGGGGATAGAAACACAAGGGCTGGACGATTATATTAAATATTTAAAATTTAAAACAAAAATTATGTTTGTCCACATCGACTGATACTGAGTGGTTGCGGTACAAACACATATCGACGATAATAGACGATTGTTGTGTGGAACGCTTGCACAAAAAGACTAGGGTGGGAAACGGATTCGAAACTCAAATGTCATTTGCCAAATACATCCATAGACCATATAGGTCCACCGTTGTATTGGCAATTGGCAATGCACCCGTGTACTGAACACTCACACACACGTCTCTTACCGATGATATGTGCTAACCTCTCAGTATGTTCAAACTTTCTTATAGAAAATTATATTTATGAAAGTGTTTCAAATAGGTATATTTTGACATTTCCCCAACAGTAACACTCAATTTAATTAAAAGTAGAGGAAATGTCTCTAATGTTGGCCTATGGATCTAAGATTGGGCCCATCGCTAAAAGCCTGCTGTTCATCAATTTTATCTACTAATGGATATTTTTGGTTGCTATTGAAAATTTAGTCGATTGCTGAATTTATGTATGGGCCCAAATTAGGGACACTTAGGCCGACATTACCTGTGTTTTAAAACTTCTCTCCTATACCTTACAGTTCAAAATTTTGAAATCTGCATCATATAGCCTTTTCTCATGCAAGAAGGTCGGTTTAAAGGCGTATATCCTTCAGAATTACCTTAGAATCAGTCATTTCTTCGCGGTGGCGGCGTAGAAGCTGTTTTAGCCTAGGCGGTGGATGTGTCGTGGCGTGACGCCGTTGACTTTGGTCGGCGGCGGCGACGTGCATCGGCATATCATTTTGGTGGCCATAAAAATAGCGCATTTTCAACTTGAATTCAAGAAAGGTTACATAAATGAAACGCCATTTGAAATTTACTACCGACACACCATCGTATCCATAAATGCAAAATATCATGAAACTCACTCGACACTCGTCAACGCATCAACCGACTATCACTGACGGAACGTTTTGTCAAGCAGTGAGAGGTAGAGCCATGGCAAATAGCAATCACCAGTAATGGTCGCTGCTCACAGGCAAAACGTAACACTCGCTGCTGATGATGTAAAGCATAACGAAAACAGTGAAGAGTTCTGCAGTACGATGATGAGAAAAAGGGAAACGACAGGAGAAAATGAAAACAATGCCTACGCATTCCAAGTTCGTCTCGGCACGCGTGACTGTGTGAGTTACAAACAAAGCTGGCAAAATTAAACGGAAGCTGTTGGGCTCACGCACCAACACACTCACATAATCAAGCAAAGCAGCAACTGCTTCAAAACGAGCGCAAATGAGTGTCGTGATGGTCGGGAATGACTAGATCGGTGATGGATCAACACCGAAGACGACATTCACCAGTTGCTTTTTACTTCTTTCGTCAACTTGATGGATGGTCATGGAGAGTGCTTCTACAAGCACATTGATAGGAATGTACTAAGAGCAACCGTACCAATGAGTAAATAAGGCACATTTACCAACCTCTACCATAACGCTACTTGCGTACCGGAGGTTGCTATTCAGGTGGGGGAAATAGCAATCCGCACCTTGGTAAGCAGGGTGCCTTCCATTTATTTTGCCTAAAACAATGTTTTATTAAATTATAGAATAGTAAGATATTATAATGATATTTTGTATGTGTAAATAATAAGAAAAGATTGTAATGTTTGTGTTTGACGCATAAAACCTGCAAATTTAGCTTTGGCAGAGTCACAATGAGCGATTTTCTAATCGCCGCTTCGCGAAGAGTGAAGAGCGAAGAGTGGGTGAGATAAATCACAAAATCGCTTATTGCGACACTCGTGTAGCAAAATTGGCAGGTATTATGTGTCAAACACAAACTTCACAGTCTTTTCTTGTTGCTTACACAAACAAAATACTACTATAATATCTTATTATTCCATAATTTAATAAAACATTTTTTTTATCCAAAATGAATGGAAGGCTCACTGGTAAGTAGTGAGTTCATAAATTTAGC